AAAACATCCGGATTTAAATAGATCTGTTATACTGCCTCCGTGGCACGTTGGGGTTGGCCGCCCTCCACGTATTTACAAAACGTCACCGTAGAATTTTGCACCTAAAACCCCATTATTTGGGTGCTTAACCCCTATGTATCCCTATCCTAGGATTACGTAGCCTGATGCGTCTTCAGTCCATTGCAAGCCTTGATAGTACGGTTGCATGACCTTTGTATATCATGAAACTATACCTCCCAAGGTATAAGGTGCTTCGAGTCATGCAGGATGTGTAGTGTCCACTGCAGGGAGGTAGCCCCATCACATGTGAGAGAACGCCCTTGCATGTAGGCACCTTATCCGACACCCTCCGAGGGAACATTATACCTGATGGGATTGTGGAGCAGAGCGTGGACCCGTTGGATAATTTATGACTTGTGCTGAAATCCACAGGATACCTCAACCTCAATCCTGACTAACGCCAACCCAGCCCTACAAGGAAGCAACAGCAAGCAGAAAAATGCCATTTATGACGGTCTTTAGGGTTCTGGAATTCTTGGATCATCAATTTTTTTGATGGTTCAGGTAATTACTCGAATTTCGCTGAAAGCCAGCCGCAACCCGAAGCAGTGTCACCAGCTTGCATGAAACTAAGCTCTAGACTTGAAGCCCTAAACCAGAAACCCCCTAACTTCATAAGCTCTAGGGTTTAGGATGCTAGGTCCTAGGTTTTTGAAAGGCAGGTTGGGAATCCCTATTGGGTTCTCGAAAGATAAGAAGGGAGAAAACCACTCAACAGTGACGAAGTACAACTTGGATGGTCTTTCACCAGCCACTTAAAAAGTGGATCTTAGCTGCCTTACCATGAAACAGTGCTAAAGTTGTGGCAAAGTACAGCTTCCAAATCTAAATCTAATCCCGATTTCTAGCCTCATCCCAAACCCTGCATCCTAAATCCTAAATGCTGGACCCCAAAGCCCGCATCCCAAACCTCAAATCCTAAACTCTAAACCCCAAAATCCTACACCTGCAACCTTAAACCCTACATATTGCACTCCAAAGCCTAAATCCTAAAGCTGGGAATCGACAGCCGAAATGCTACACACTAAGCCCTCAATCTCAGATCCGAAATCCTAATCCAACCTCAAGCCCTAAATCCTAATTCCTAAATCCCAAACTCTTAAAACTTATATCTTACCACCTTCTTCCAGCAACGTCAGGGCACGCTTCACCGGGTCGTCAACCGCCAGCGTGGTCGCATCCAGTAGAAGCACCTCTGGGTGGGCAACAACGTAGCCGGCCCTAAATGATGGTATAGGTTTAAGTGTTAGGGATTGGGGTATCATAATGGCGAATCAGATGGACAAGAGATTGCACAATGAATGGCACTGGGGTTATATGCTTTTCTTTGCTGGGATGAGTTATAAGCCAACAATGGAGCAATAGCTTATAAGACTTAATAATCTCCCCGCAAAAACACCCTCCCCCACCGAAATACCGTCATGTATTAAGTGGAATATTTATTGACAGTGGGTGAGGGGGCAGTGGGAGGTTATTACAAGGGGTCGGGATGGGGAAGAGATTAATGGATTTTATTCAGGGATGCTACAAGATAATGTAGGGGCTATTGGGGTGCCGGATTCACGCAATGGAAAACCGGTGAAATGGGACCCTGGGGCTTATAGGGATATGGAGGGTTTAGGCTTAACTGGCTGGTTGTTAATAAACTGGCATAGAGAAATCGAAAATACAATGGAAACTACTATGCTTTTGTGGGTTGAGTAGGCACTGCTAGAAGGAACGGATCTTGCTACCAGCCTGTATGTTCAGTGGCTCAGCGATTTGGGTCTAGGTCGGTCTCGGGGAGTCAGGTAAGTGCAAGAGAGTATATGTGCAACTCCCATAAGTGTAGAATAACACCGTTTATTCCTGCAGCTTATGCTTCGGGAGCGCAATGCGATGATAGCCCCATGGAGGCTTATAACGACACGTGCCCTGCCAAATCGAATTACAAAACTACGTACAACGTTTCTACGCTCTCCTATTTCAAACCCCATCCATATGATGAGCAACCGCGAACGTCCAAGCACTAGTGGAATCCGAGGCAGCAACCCATGACCCTAGCTGACCCACAATCACCGATAACAATGACCTTAAGCGATCTTGCCAAGGTGTCGGCAACACCATTAATGTCAGTATTGACACCAAGCCTGCCCCGCCGTGGCTCGGCAGCACGATGATGCAGGAGACGTTGTCCTTGGAGCCCTTGTTTATGGCCTGTTTGCAGATGCAAGCACGAGAGATGGCGACGCTCTTTAGCATCGCAATCCAACCTCGTGGCAAATGTCGCATGCGACCTGCACACGTTCTCATTAATGCGCAAAAGTCAGAGCCATGTGTCAGTCAACAAGTCCAAGCCTGCGCTGGATCGCTGGTTTGCAGCCTGTTCGCTGCAAACTGTACCACATCAGCATTCGGGAAGCTGCCTGAAGGAACAAAGTTTGGTGTAATGCAGAATGGCATGACAGCATCGCAAGCCTTCAGAGATGCCATCACACCCCAAGATCAAGAATTCATTGGCCCCGAGCTCAAAGTCCTGACAGATGCGCTGACTTTGAATGTCGGATTCTCATGCAGGGCTATGCAGCAAAGCATCTGACCTGAAGCTGGGGCAAGGCCGTCACCGGACGATCTCTTGGGTCTGGGCCTGCAGCCCACACACAAGCAATATCTAGAATCGCATACTCCAACAAAATTGAAAGCGCTTCAGGTTGCGGGCCTCCCGTTCTTTTGTGCACGCCATTTCCGAAGGCACGAGTCATCGAGAGTTGTCCATTCACTCGCGGCACGCCCATAATCTCGGCTTGACTTTGGGCCATGAGCGCGCCACTTGAAAACAGTCAATGCATACTGTGCGCCTGAGTTGCGGACTTTTTGCACGGTCCCTCCTGTCTGTTCAATCCGGCGTTTTTCGCTGGGAAGGTCAGGCTAGTGGTCCTCATAGCAAAGGAAAATCAGAGCAAGGGCAAACATTGCGGGTTTACAGCCGGTTAGGTATGAATCTTCAATTGGCATGGGTCCGTGGTGAGGGCCAGGTCGGTTCCAGGCCCTGGGAAGATCGAGCCATCTGCGCGCCCCAGTAGCACGCGGCTGTCGCCAAGGTTTCCAACCCGAAGGTGATAGCTACCTAAGCAGTTGAACTTTCGACGCACCTCCAAAATTGCGATCTGGAACCGCAATCCTAAACCCTAACCCAAACCCTCCATCTGGAACCCCGCCAGTGCAGCCAGAATACCTCCAGGTCTTGTGGGCGCTTGGGCAATGACGAACGTTGCACATGATCCACCGGGCCGATTCGAATTCAGAAATTCGTTGTCTAGGCGAAATGCCATGTCAGTAATGGCCTCATTTGTGGCCGGCATTCCACTTGTACGCAGCTCTTCGTCGATGCGCCTGGCTATGAACTGGGAGCACTCGCTCCCTCCATGGCCATCAAAGATTCCAAAGAAGCCCCAGCTATCCTGGGTTGCATTGCAGTTATTGGGCTCCGGTTTACGATCGGTTTGGAGTTTATACGGTTTATTCTGGGGGACCCGACAAAAATAACGTTCCTGAGCAGGCAGGACTCTTCAGCGTAGATGACATGGGCATCCTCCATGGAAGGCCGAAAGCCTTGCATCGAGGCCGCCCCGACGCGAAAAGCGGCGGTTTCTGCATGCCTCCGTCTTGCTTGACGGTTGCTACTTCGCGGTTAGTTACGTTATTACTATGGGGGGCTGCAGCAGCTGCGGGTAGTTTCCATGTGCGTTTGCTTTCAGACACCCGGAATACTGGAGAAACAGAGATGAGAACCGAATAAAACAGATTCAGGAACATTAAGCAGCAGAGCAATCCCCCGCCCTTTCTCATACTAGTAGTCAAGCCCCCCAAAATCTGTCTCGCAGTGTATGACATGGGGAGTACTTCTTCATTGTTACGGACCGGGAGACTCATTGTTGGGTGGGATTCACTGACCCTAAATACTTAACCCTAAACCCAAACCTTAAACCCATATGGGTAGTTCCCAACAATGGGGTCCCATTTTGGTACCCCTACATATTATAGTAGTTTCCATTTTCTTTTTCCATTATCCCTATATTACCCCAGTATAGTCCCTTATAACCCCTATAGTTTCCATTCTCTTTTCCATTACCCCTAGGTAACCAAAATGGTTCAATAATCTTACATAATCTTAAGAACAACCCATATGAGCTATAGTCTACACTCCTAGTATCCAC